ATATATATATATATATATGTTTGATAATAATATAAAAGATAAAATGACTCTTTTTTATCATGTTAGATTATGTTGAGCTAAACAAAATAAAATATGAAAAATTTTATTTTATCTTTAATATATATTGCTATTAAATTTATATATTTTTTACTTTAATTTATATTAAGTGTTGAAATTAATAATATTATAATAACTTTAGTTATAAAACTAAGACTAACTTGATGAGTTGATTTGAAATCTAAACTAATCTAAGTTTTAAAAAAATAAAAAAATGATTGACTCAACTTAATCCAATAAAAAACCCAGGTCATCATGTGATAAAAAAACATGTTAACTTTTATTTAAAAAAATAGTCAAAACAAGGTTGTTTTTTTTTTTTTAAGGGTAAGTTGGGTAACCCATGACATAAACCCTGTCTCTGGTTGACTCCTGAATCGGTTTTTAAAATTATAATAATAACTATTTTTATTAATATATTAACACAGGTCAACTCATTTTGACCCTCTCGACTCGTGACCCAAGTCTTATTCCAAGTCAACCCCCAACTCAAGTTTTAAAACAATAATAATTATTATTTTTGTTTTTATATTGACTCTAGTTAATAATAGTTAACCCCATTTTGACATGAGTTTCACCCAATATCGATCATTGTATTAGGTTTTAAAACTAAAATAATAATTATTTTTATTTTTATATTGTTTCAGGTGAAACTAACTCATGAATCATGTCTTAACCAGTAACCTAGACTTTGTCCCGAATCAATCTTAGAGTTGGGTTTCAAAATTATTATGATAATTATTTTTATTCTTATATATTTTAATTAAATAATTTTTGAATTGAGAGTTTTTTTAAAAATATTTTAGAAATAATAAATATTATCTCAAGACATCTTTAATATACCTTCTATTTAAAATATACAAAAATTTATTTCAAAAGTAACTCGAAAATAAATTTATTTTTATATTTATATTTTTATCTCGTCAGCCAAGTATATTTTTTCCTTTCTCCTTCCGTTTCTGTTCTTCTTTTTCCGTATGAGGACAAACCTAGTCTGGCTCCTAAATACGGATACCCGGGAGCCTGTTAGAACCCGGGCCACGCTACAGCCCATATGGGCTAACATAGACAAACGGTGACGAAGCACGTGAACACTTCGGTCTAGCAATCCCCTTTTTTATTTCGGCAGAGATGGTTCGGACCAGGCAATTTGCATTTTGCTGTTGTTCACCATAAATAGTAAGAGCAATAGTACTTCCAGCTACGTAGATCAGTTTAACACGTCACATCCTCATTTTCTTCGCGATGCTTCCAAATTCAATCAAGCATTAAAGGATATACATAGTATAAGTATTTGATATTTTTATTTTATTTTATTTTTATAAAATACAACGTTTGAAAAAAGTTTTCGTCCATGGTATCTTGTTTGCATGACATTCCTTGGTAAGCCTCGCTTAGTAATATAGTTGTTAAACTTTATTAAATTTGACGCTTTTATCCAAATATTTCATGACTTGTATTACAATTTAGGTTAGGTTTCAATCGGCAAATATATTGATCTAACGAATTATTAAAAAAATAATATTATATTGCATATTACTTGTGAAAACTATAACGATAAATTTTTGTTATTAATTTCAGGAGGAAACGGTGATGAATTAATTTTTTTTTTATTGATATTGTTAACATGTCAAATTATTGAAGAAAATTCCATCATTAATTTTAAAAGAAATTAAAACTTGATAGTTTTATCATCTTTTCATTTCATTTTTTTCTTTTAATTCATTATAACGAAGGTTAGGCCATGATTTAAGAAAAACTAGGTGGGTTTTAATAAATGGGAAGAATTAGTAATACATTTTTTATTGTTTTGTTGTGTCTAATGGGAGATGCATTTGGTGAACAATAAGCCGGTGGTAAGACTTGCCCCAACAACCTATTTGGTGGCTAATATGAGCGGTGTGGACACACTGAAATACTGTTCACCATCTATGGATAGCCAAATCAATTACATAGGCGGCGGCTGTGGCGGAAGGCTGCGGCGAGATTGCAAGGCACCGTTTAGAACATGGTGTGTATTGTGTTTTTAAAAAAATTAATTTTTTATGTGTTTTGAATTATTTTGATGCATTTATTTTAAAAATAATTTTTTATTTTTTTAATATATTTTAAAATAAAAATAATTTAAAAAATAACCAAAATTATATTTCTAAATAGGTTTTAAAGTGCATGCCGCACACCACATGCACAATCCGCAACAACATGGATGGGATTTGAACGCAGTGAGTGCATATTGTTCTCCATGGGATGCTATGAAGCCTTGTTCGCGGCGGAGCAAACATTGTTGGACTGCTTCTTGTGGCCCGGTTGGACCTCGTGGACAGGCTTCTTGTGGGAATGCTCGAGGGTAAGATGTATATGAACATGCTTTTTTTTTTTTTTTGAACTTTTACAGTTAGCTGCTACTGTTTATTGCATAATAATGGAAGAAGTAAATAATGAAGTAAAATTGTCCTAATTAATTTCATTAGGACAAGTTTAGTTCATTATGGATCAATGTAGCAATAACGAAGGAGGGTTTTAATATTTTTTTTATTGTAGCCACGTAAACATTTCATTGTTAACTGTTATGCAGTGAGAAATTACTAATTTGTTTCTTGTTCAAATAATAAATGGTCCCTTTGTTTTATATGAATAATGAAAATACTAAACTACCTTTGGAGACTAAAAATATTATGTCTTCGATCCAGGGTATTACCCCTTTTTTATATTTTAGATTACAGTTAAATTACTAAAATGTTCTTTTAAGTCAAAACAATCAAACTTTTGGTAAAAAATATTTATATTTTTTCTAATTGGTTATTTTTTTTATTAAAGATATTATTGTATTTTAACATAATAAAATAATATTCATAGAAGGCACATGTGTACTTTAAAAGGCGCATGCTTTTTCCTATAATTAAACCTAATTATCCGTCATGTAATTAAATGCACTGCTGCATTTTTTTTAGCTGGTGCAGCGCATATTAACAATAAAATGTGGTTTGTAGCTAGCGAACCTCTTTTTATATTTTCTCTTTTCCTCGTATAAAAATTATTATTATTATTTTTTATATTTTTATATTTATAATTTAATTATTTTTATATTTTTATCCTCAGCTCTTTAACAAGAGTTTCATTCCCTTCAATTTACTCCTTTAATTTCAATTGTAATATATTATATTTTTTAATTTGATTCTTATTTTTTAAATTTTTATTTTTTTTGTTTAACCCTTTTTTTTATATATATTTTTAATTTTACCATTCAATCCAAGATTTTTTGGTGTTATTGTTTTCAAATTAATTATTATTTTTTTCTTTTTCATTGTAGTTATTTTCCTCTTTAATTTAACCTCAAAACAAAACATTATGTCCTTTTTTTATTTAAATTTAATTTTTTCATCCTTTGCCCCTTTGTATAGGTGTTATTTCTTTTTTATTTAGTACTTCAATTTCAAATTTTCATGTATATTTTTTTTATTTGATCCTTAATTTTTGAATTTTTTTCTTTAATTTTTTAATAAAATTTTTACTAGTTTTTAATCTCGCTTTTCAAACCAAGTTATTTTTACTGGTTTTTAATCCCACTTTTCAAACCAAGTTTATATTGTGTAATTTTTTTCTCATTCTTTAATTGTTTCATTTTTTTTTAGATTTAATTTTTCAATAAAAAAAATTTAGTTACCCTCTAATTTATTTTTTATTTTTTAATTTTCACCCTAATTATTTTATTATCATTTTTTATTTTATATCCTCGTGATCTTTTTGGACACTGATGGAGATGGATACGCCAAAGGTCACCTCGTAGTGAACAATGAGCTCGTTAATCGTGGTGGTTCCATCAACAGGGCTAAGCCTCTGCTCTCTACCGTCGATGATCAATACATTATATGTCCCTGTAGGATGAAGATCCTGTGGTTATCTATATATGTGACCATTGAAATTTGATAAGCCTCGAGTGATCTAATCAAGGTCAGAGTTTCATTTGGCCAAAGTTGTGGTAAATTATTTATCTCTTTTCTTGTGAATCGGTAGCTCGGAGGTGTTTATATTTTGATTCTAGGATGGCATGCATACGGCGGAAGGATAATTTCAGCCACCGGATTGTAAAGATTATGCTCCTGAGAAACCCCATACGAGTCAACTAAATTAAATGCCTTGTATCACAAGTTGGATTTCTCTCTTTTTATATATAGTTAAAAAATAATCAAAAAGTGAAAAGAATCAATTTAATTTTGTCATGGATGTGGTATGAGTAGATCAATGATCCGAATGATTGAATTATAAATCCAGCATAATCTAGATTTTTTAATTAACAAATTTGATAATTATAATTAAATAGATACTTTTCTTCTTATTATTTTTTTAACAATATTGGAATTTCTTTCTAATTTTACATGCTAACATGATGTTTTTTTTTATTGGATGCTTCATAAATCGTCCATGTTTAAAAGGATTTATTTATGAACTGACTTAAGTATTTTTTATTGAACTCACTAATTGCTCAGAGACAAGTCCCACCCCATGACGAGTTCTAGATGGGACACAAAATAGTTGCCTCTCTTGACTCTCCGATAAATGTCTCTGGTCTTCGGTGCCTGCTGCATGGGCTTCTAGCAACATTGATTATCGCCATTCTCCAAAGATCAAACCTTGAAGCCGATCGTTTTGTTTTTAATCTGGATTAGAGCTGTTTTGGCACTAAAATATGTAACCTAGCTATGGCCACTTGAAATCACGACAAAAATTACTTAAATCAAAGTTAATATATATTCATATAGAGTTGTTTTGAGGATTTCAAAGGTTGTAAAAAAATTTTACTTCTAGTAATAATATTACGAGATATACAACAATTACACGATTACGGACAAGATAATTAACATACTTGGCTGGGATTTACTCTTGAATCGGTCGAGTCAAAGAGGACAATTTAGAGGCCAGTAAAAGTCAAAGATATGAGATGGAGAGTCAAATGTATACGCTGCGTTCAATGCCGTGCCAAGCTGTTCGGAACACACAAGGGATAGTTGAGCTTGCACGGCTGTGACATCCTCCTTAGTGATCTCTATAAATCCAGCACCTTGTTATAATTACTTCATGCAACCACCAGGAATGGAGAGGTTAAGCTTGTTGATCGTATTCCTTTTGTGCCTAGCAGCTACTGGCATTGCCCAGAATTGTGGCCGGCAAGCTGGAGGCCGGACTTGTGCTAACAATCTTTGCTGTAGCGAGTGGGGCTTTTGTGGAACGAGTGATGACCATTGTTCACCTTCCAAGAGTTGTCAAAGCAACTGTAGAGCCAGTGGTGGCAGCGGTGGCGGTGGTAGCAGTGGAGGTGGCGAGAGTGCTTCCAATGTTAGAGCTACATACCATTTCTACAACCCTGAGCAAAATGGATGGGATTTGAACGCTGTAAGTGCTTATTGTTCTACATGGGATGCCAATAAACCATTGGCTTGGCGTAGACAATATGGTTGGACTGCCTTTTGTGGACCAGTTGGACCCCGTGGCCAGGCTTCTTGTGGCAGGTGCTTGAGGGTACGTAAAAGTTAATTAGACGATAATGAAGAACAATTTCTTTTTTAATTATTAGAATTCGCTGAGCATCAAGATCAAATTCAAATAACTAAATATAGTTTCCCACATAAATGTATTGCAGGTGACAAACACTGGGACTGGAGCACAAGCAACAGTGAGGATTGTTGACCAATGCAGCAATGGAGGTCTCGACTTGGATGCAGGAGTATTCCGGCAAATAGATACTGATGGAAGAGGCAATGCTCAAGGCCACCTTATTGTAAACTACCAGTTCGTGAATTGCTGATCAAAAGGCACCATCCTCTTCCAATGTTATGATGAAAACTCAATAAGCTTGTTGATTTCCAAGTACTAATAAATTTTTAATCTTTTCTTGAATAAGAAGCGGGTGATATTGTAAACCCAGATTTTTGCAATAAAATCTATGAACCTCGTTTGCAGTTTGATGACACGACAATACTAATAACCTGCGTTCACCGTTCAACCTGTTTTTTTTTAATAAAAAAAACGGGGAAGATTGTGTGATGCTGGTTCACAGCGATCGAGCAGATGAAATTAACAAAAGAGATGAGATTTTGACAGTGATGAAAATGTGTGGGGTTTATATGCTTATGGTTTTATGTTCAGTGAAGAACCAGAAAAAATAAGGAGACAAGTTTTGGTATTTCTTTTACGATCAAACCCTAATGTGGTGATTTTAATCTGCTTTTCTCTCGAATTCTTTGATATTTCCTCTTCACTTTTGCATCTACTGGATATGTATTTATAATACAGGAATTTCATAGCATATGAAAACAAAATTCTAAATATATATATTTTTTAATTTAAATTTGATTAGAATTTAAAATTAATTAAATTTAAAACAAAAATATTTAAAATTATCTTAATGATCTTTTTAAATTGAAGATCAGGAAAGAATGATAAAAATATATTATAATCTCTAGTTGTTTTATAAATTAACAAATCATATTTTTAACCGAAATTAATTTTTAATTTTTTAATATTTAATTTTTAACCCTTTTAAAAATAAAATTAAAAAAAATTAAATTTGAGTTATTACAATTATGACATGACAATACTAATACCGTTTAACCTTTTTAAAGTATTTTTTATTTTTATTTTTCTAAAAAAACATTATGTTTTTAATAATTTTTATTTATTGATATTAAAAAAAATTAAAAATATTATTTTAATATATTTTTAATTTAAAAATACTTTTTAAAAACACTCTGTTTTATACTACAAACACACAACAATTAATGAATTTATCTCTGAATAAATGGATGAAGATCGTACCCTCTAAGTATTCTATCTCCTTGGGCTCCCAAAAAAAAAAAAAATCGTTTTCATCTTAAATATTTTGCATGACAATAGTTTTTGGATTAGGAAAGAGAGCAAAATCTAAGACCTAATCCTTATGGGAATATTTCCCGGAAAGTAAGAACAAGCAATTAATTCATTGCATTATCTTATGGACCAAAAGAAGTCTATATAAGTATTAAACTGTTCTCTTATATATATATATCCAAAAAATGACAAAATTCAAACCATTTATTAAAATAAATTGCATGAGGTAATGTTAAAAAAAAAATATTTAAGATTATTAACAAACAATTGAATTTGTTATTAAGGTTTGTTTCATAAAAAAAATATTACTAAAGGGTAGGTGAAAAAATAAAAAGTCTGGACATGAGGAATATGGAATATATTATTTCATAGATTTTAAAGTGCTAGTTTAACTCTCAATCATTAATTTTAAACGAGGAATAATTGTCAAGTTGATTTCCTCGTGATCATGGACAATTATTATTCTACTTAAAAACTTCTTTAGGAATTTTCTGCTATCAAATGAATTTGTGAATAATTAATATCACAAACTAGTGCAGGGAAATATTATTATGATGAGACTTGATTAGATGATGTGTTTAACTCTTTCAGGAGGCAGGGCAATGGCATTAATCTTTTGGTTTAATTAAAGTTTATAATTGATCTAGTCCTTACTTGAGGGTTAAATTATTTGGAGAAAATTGTAAATATTAGTTCCTTTTTCAAAAGAAATCAAATAATCTTTCTAGTTTTAAACTTTTAATTAATTAATTAATCCCTTAGTTAATGTTTATCATGCTTAATTTTTTATTTTTTATTCCAAGAAATTAAAATATCTTTTTCATTAATCTTTTTATATCATTTATTTATTTATTTTTCTGTTTTTTGGAATAAAAAATAAAATAAAATATAAAATACACAGAAATAATCAAGTCATCAAGTGATTTAAAGATATAGAAACTAATCGATTATTTTTTAAACCAAAAGGATATTTGATTCATTTTGTAAAAATTTAGAGATTAATTTATGATTTACTCAAATATTTGACAAAATACGTATAATGTCGCTATAAAAACCCTAATGTCGATGAATGAAAAAGAAAATAATTGCTAATTTAAAGAAATTTTAAAACATTTTAAAATATTAATTCAAATTAATTCGATTTCTTTCTCAAACATATATATACATATTATTTTTAAAATCAAAAGCTGAAACATCAAATATAAGCAATTCTCAATCAAGATTGAACTTCATGAATTGCTAATTAAACAATTATCAAATCTAATTATACAAAAAAACAAAGCAATCCCTATATGTATGTAGACAACAGCGACTTTGATTTTCCTTCCGAAAAACTCAAGACACCTTAGAAATTCAGATGACTGCTTCTTGCCATTTTCTGGTTTATAAATTGTAAATATATTTTAAAATAAAATAAAAGAAAAAAGCAATGTGGCCAAACCCAAGAGCCATGACCATGACCATGACCATGGCCGACTCAATGGACTCCACCCAAACTCGCCACCCTGCCTTGAAATGTGTCATCACCAAGATGATTTCAATGACATTAACGTCATCGTTAAAGCTCAAAGAAAGCCAAACACGTCTCTTTCTAATGCGGTGTCCTTGCAAACATGTTGGAGGCATGAATTACATGTGTCAAATAATTTTTTATTTTTTTATTAATTTTTTTAATTCATTTTTAATTTAGTCTTAAATTTATACAAATAACTTATTGTGGTTGTAACTTTTATTAAATTTAAAATATTAATCAAGGTTAATTAAGATTGGTCAAATTTGTTACTGTTTTGATATTAAAAAATATTATTTTAATTTTTGTTAAAAAATCAATCTATATATTTATTAATTATATAATTTATTTTTAAATTTGTCAAATTAATTTTATTATATCATAACAACTAAAACATTACTAGGTAAAAAATTAAATATTTATAATTTTGAAGAATATAACTTAAATGATCAGATTTTATATTTATTTTTTAAAAATTAATAGTTTAAATTTTATAAACCTCATAGCTATTAAAGATTTATATAATTATTAATATAATTATTAATTTTAGAATTTATGTAATTAGTAATTAATTCAAATACTTATATTAATAATAAAAAAAAAATTTAAAACTTATTTAATAATACTATTAAGTTATTTACTTTATGTATTTTTTTAACAGTTTTTTTAACGTTAAAAAAACATAGTTTAATTTTTTTTTTTTGAAAAACAAAGTTGAAACATTATCGTCCTATATATCTTTTTTAATCATATTTGTCACACCCTGACATCGCGACGGCCTTAAAAATATAATTTTTTTGGAAAGAACGGATTTCTGGCATCCAATTCTTTGATGGTGAATGATCTTTGTTTAAGGAGTCGCCACATAGTATTATGGTTACTAGGAACCCTAACTGGTCAACAGAGATTCTATGATTCGAGACTGATTACGCAAAAGGGAAGATATTATCACCCCTTTTAGCGTCCTGCCTAAGGCAGGCTGCATTGCTGACTTTGTCAATAATTGCTAATGTTTTGTTAGTTTATGCTATGGTGGTTTTGCGTGTAATATTCCTGACTCTGGCGTCAGTGAATATTTAACTACAAATATTTTCAATTCTGGCGTTGGTAAATATCACGTAGCTATAAAAACAAAATAAATTTAAATCAATTATTTTTTTATTCCTGACTCTGGCGTCAGTGAATAAAAAAATCAAATAAATTTAATTTTTCGCATCACAAAAAAAAAATAAATTAAATCAGATATATTTTTTTTTATTCCTGACTCTGGCGTCAGTGAATATACAAATCAAATAAATTTATTTTTACACATCACAAAAAATAAAATAAATTTAAATTAGTTATTTTTTTTATTCCTGACTCTGACGTCAGTGAATAAACAAATCAAATAAATTTATTTTTACGCATCACACAAAAAATAAAATAAATTTAAATCAGTTATTTTTATTCCCGACTCTGGCGTCAGTGAACAAAATGAAAAAAAATAAACTTATTTTTTATACATGTACATATTTTTTATTTTTTTCTAGCTAAAAATAACGAATGAAAAATAATATAAATTTAAACTGGTATTTTTATTCCTGACTCTGGCGTCAGTGAATAAACCAATAAATTTACATTATTTTTTATTCATGCCTATATTTTTTAATTTTTTAATTTTTGCACTTTGAAATATTTTATTTTTTACTTTTTTATTTTTTTATTTTTTACTTTTTATTTTTTCTATTTTCTGACTGGGCTGGGCTTAGCCCAGCCCATTATATATATTGATGGCTGGGCTCAGGTCAGCCCCACAGGGGCTGGGCTCAGCCCAGCCAGCCTAGCCCGGTCACTGGCCTAAGCCAGTGAGGCTGAGTCCTGCACGCGTGAAGTAACTTCACGCGTGCTGCACTATGCGAAGGTAATTAAGTTACCTTCGCACAATGTTTTCAAATTCAATATGCAGGGAATGAAAGGAGAAAGGGAAGAGCGTACCTGCTTCGGGAGACGCTGATGCGTGCAGCACTGATGGAGAGCGTACCTGCTTCGAGAGACGCTGATGCGTGCAGCACTGATGGATTCTCCTATTGCTTCCCCTTATCTTCCTTCTGTGTTCAATTGTCTGCGTGTTCTCTTTGTTTTCACAGCAACTTTTGAAACTGAGAAAATGATGAAAAGGCCGGCCTGCTGGGAATTTGCTTTGATCTTGATTTTCGTTGTTTGCAGGGGCGAAGGCAATGGCAGAGTCAATACTCGTCTCTGTGTATTGTTGCTCTTTTATTCTCTCTGACTCCCCGTGTATTATTTCTTTCTCTGTATTTATGCTCTGTTTTTTTGTGTTTCTCCTTTGCTCTGTTTTTGGGTTGTGTTTAGGTTAATTTTCTCTGATTTTTTTTATTTTTCTGGTTTCGTTGTGTTTTGCTCTTCTTTTCTTGGGTTAATTGCCCTCTTTTTTTTTTTTCTCTTCTTTCTGAGATCTGTATTTATAGTATAAGAGTTTCATTCCCTTGTGAAAATAAAGTCTCAATTAAACTCTTTTTTTTTTTAAGTTTAAATTAAAATCGAATTTAAAAGTAGATAACTATCATTATCTTGAGAATTATCTTAAAGAAGGTAAGGATTAACTTGAAAGTAAGGATTATCTTAAAAAAGATAGGGATTATCTTGAAGGTAAATATTATCTTGAAAATAAAGCTAGAATGATAAAGATATATTATAGTTTTTAATTTTTATGAAAGTTAACAAATTATACTTTTTATCAAAATAAATCTTTGATTTTTTAATTTTTTATTTTAAATCATATAAAAATTAAATTAAAAGCTAAAGGGTCAAAATTGAATTATAAAAATATTAATTTCGAACGGGTCGTACATTACAAGTTTACACCTGTTGTTTTTCGAAAAATATACTCACAAGATCGTTGCTGACACCTCGAGTACATGCCCACAGCCGAGCGCGGGCAACGGAGCCAGTACTCTCTGTATTCCACCATCCCAAATCAGTACAAACCTCTACTCCTCACTTTCCCTCTGAACACAGAAATTGAAACTGGCACTCTTGACACAAGTTTGAAGATTGAATTACCGGAATCCTATTGTATTTTTTTTCACATTGTGCTGTTTGAAGATATGGATGAGAGAAGGTTTGTTTCTTTTTGTTTGGTTCCTGAGAAAATATGGGAAAAAGGAAAAGTTTTCAACTTTTTTTCCCCTTAAAACTCAATTCAGTCTCACAGAAATACCCGCTTGCGTTTTGCTTTTCCACTCCTTCCCTTCTTTAAAGGGTCTTGAATTTTTCCTGTTTTTAGACCAGTTTCGTTGCTTAGCTGTGATGGTTTGTCTTTTTTAGTAGTTCGAAAGCTTGTTTCTTTGGAAATATGGAGCTGTTAAAGCTTTAAGCTTTAATGGGTACAATGTGATCCCTGTATTCTCCTCTTTTCTGTCATTACTGCAATTTTTTTTTTATTGTTTCGTATTGGCAGTCAAATATGACTTGGTATTATGATTTTTGTTTCTCTGACTGTTGTCAATAGTAGTTTTCAGTTGAAGAAGAATGTTAGTTTCTTTTTCTCTTAAAACGTTAGGTGATTGTCACCATTATTTTAGCATGAAAATAATGTTGTGCACTTGTGTTTATCTCTATAGTCAAGAGAAAGAGATGGTGGAACAAGTAGTGAGAGTGAAGAGGAAGAACCTAGAGGCATGCATGACATGCCCTCTTTGTAATCACCTGTTAAATGAAGCTACCACAATCTCTCTGTGTCTTCATACCTGTAAGGTTTACTCTTTTGCTTTATATTTTGTTCTTGTGTGATTGATTTTTTTCTCAATCTGAAGCTGTCAAGGTTGCAGTGGAAATAAATATAATAATCTGGGTTATTTCTTTAGTTGCTTTGCAGTTTATTGATCTGGTCTTCCTTGCTTTGCGTTTCTTGATTTGTTTGTTTATGTACACATGAATCTGTTATAAAAACATCAAGGAAGAATTTTCAAATACTCTGTTAGTCCTTTCCTTTAGGCTTGTGTTGGCACAATTGGTGCAATGCATTCTCTATACCAAATAGAAAACTTTGTTTGTTAGGTCATATGCTATATTAGTAACAAGCGCTGCAGAGATAATTAATCATACTTACTAATCTTTATAACTGTGGGCAGTTTGGGACACTGTTTAAGAAGAACTTCCTACTCGTACACATTACCCCATGACATAACCATCGATTCCAAAGCTTCATGACTATGCCAATAATTTTATATGCCTTTTATGTTGTATTTGAGATATAATCCTTTTGATCATCTTTTCTTGATTATTTGAATCTATGGTGTTATATCTAATCTTGAATCTTCCTATTCTATCGAGTGATCTTTTCTCTTCCAGTGATCTCTTTCTGATGAGTTTATGAAATGCATACCAGTCTGCAGGAAATGCATATACAAAAAGCTCACTCACGAAAAGGTAGATTGCTGTCCCATATGCAATATGCATCTAGGTCGTCTACCGACTGAGAAACTCAGGTTAGCTTTTGGTATATACACTTGTGTGTAGGGGCACTACTTTTATCTTTTAGGTTCCAAAATGGCATAAAAGTAACTTCTTCTAAAGCACAATTGAAAAGGTTATATGATCTCTAAGTATCTATCAGTATTGGCTCCCTGAACTTTAAGATTGTGATTGAGGTTGGTTATTGATCAGTAATATATAGTAACTGTTATTTGTTAAATCTATATACTCTGATCTGATGATTGGCTCATTTGAAATTGATTTGGTTTGTGGATGTTTGCTTTTGGCAACATAGACTCGCGGCCCTATTGACATGATTTTGTTTTCACTGATTGTATTGCTTGATGCCCTAACCAATAGTAGATAGATTTATTTGGTTGCAGTAGACAAGAGCTGAACTTCTTATTCAAGGAGTCCTGCTTGGAATTTTCTTCCACTTCCCAGAAAACATTTGGATCAGGACAATAATGAGATTTTATTGTCTACTTAAAAAGGACAAAAAATAAAATGTTTGTTTTGGGATGTTCGTGTTTGCATGCAGGCCAGACAATTATCTGCAAGATATGAGGGCCAAAATATTTCCTTTTAAAAGAAGAGAAGTTAAAGCTTTTGAAGTTATGCCTTCAGTTGCGTTGCCCAAAAAAAGGAAAGGAGAGCAGAGAGAGCGGGCACGGGATCTCCAAACTTCTAGGGCAGATGACCTAGTTCCCCGAGTACGAGGACAGGATGATGGAGAGTCCTTGGGGTCCCAGATGTTTACTGCTTATTCCATCTCTTTGGAGGCGAGTCTTGATCCATCCTTTCCTGTACAAGTTAATTTTCTTCATCTAACTGTTGGGTTTTTTCTTTTTTGTCTGCCTCAATCAAGAGGACTTTTAATGAATGTTACTTAAAACTTGGATCTGGAAAATGTTTCTAATTTTCATTCTCAGGAAGAATTACAAGATTCCAAAGTGATTCCTGAATCAGAAGAATCTATTCGAGACCTTGGACTAGTGCCGCATGTAGCTTCTCAATCAGGAAAAGGCTCTCTTGCACTCCCTAATGAAGTTTCAGATATCCCCACCACCACAGAACCACACAAGAATGGATCTTCTTCCAACTCCGAAGCATTCAACACAACTCCTCTAGCTTCTAATTCTCCAATTGCAGGTTCAAATGCATTAATAAATACATATTTCTCACATTCTCCATTTTGCATTATTTAACTAATTCAATTGCCTTTGATCAAGGGGTCCTGCTTAAGTTGAGTTTGAATCTTTAGCTAACATGTTATCTTCTTCTCAACTCAACCTCCACAATCAATTCCATATCTCACAACTTTTGAGATTCATCACTGAGGAATTGGCAAAACACTCCAAAGACAATCTCACTTCCATTTTGGAGTTTGCTGTGCTTAATCTCTTGTATCTGCATTGATCTACTCGTGATTCCAAGCCTACAGATTTTCTAACTAAGTCATTCAGAAATATTTTCAGCTATAACTAATTCCTATCTGGAGAAAGCAAATGTTCAATCCAGATCAATTAGAAGCTGCATTATGCCTCTGCATGGAAGAAGCTTCAAGATTCTCTACATCAACTTGAAGCCAAATCAACAGATTCTCTGCAGGACATATTGACTCCAGCCTTCTATTATCAAATGAATGAATTATATGCGTCTACAATAAAACCTTCACTCGATATGCTTGAAACCCTTTTATTAGTAGACACTTCATCGATACTCTCTGTCATCCTTACAACCTATGTTCGATACCATTTTCCTAATTGTTTATCTCAATACTTGTCATCGTTTAGATAGCATATCAATGGAAAAAGAAAAGGTTCCATTGGAACAACTATTATTTATTTCAGGGCATCTCAAACCTTTCTAAGCTACCTCGTCTAGAGAAATCTCTCTCTCTTTTTCCTCAAAATCTTCTGTTGGGATAATTACATTATTAGTACACTAATTTAACACCGTTTAAGTGAGCCAACTTTTTGAAAACTTTAAATCAAGTACTTTAGTCCAAAATTTGTAATTTGCTCTGGTTTTACTAGCATGTACTTTACAATGTTGATGCACCAACTTTCAGCTTTCTGAAAAAATACATTAATTTCAAAACGGATTAAACATTCAGTGCTTTAGAATTAAAAGTTTGTATATTTTTGTGTTTGAAAAATATATATTTTTTAAAAAATTTGAATTTTAGAGTATTAAATTCAAATACATCAATGCTATTTACTGAGAGCATGTAAATTTAAATTTAAGAACTTGTGGATGAAGGTTTATGTAATAATAAATTTAAATTTAAGAATTTAAGGAATTAATTGAGAGCAGATACAAATTTATCTAAACATCTATATTAATAATAAAAACAAAATTATTAATAAACTATATGATACAACACAAGTGCTGGACTTGACTTATGCTCCTGCAAAAAAATATTTAGCTTGAGTTTATTTTTATATTTAAAAAATATTTTTGAATATTTTTTTTAAATTAAATTTTTATGATTTTGAATTATTTTAATATACAAATATAAAAATTTAATTTTTTAAAATAAAAAAATATTATTTTAATATATTTTTAAATAAAAAATTATTTTAAAAAATAACAACTACTATAATCTGAAAAACTACGGTAGGTGCCGATCTTGACTTTCCATTCCAATCCATGCATCCCCACCTGTGGCCTTCTCTTTCTCAGGGTTGGTGTATTATCTAGAATTTGTCAAAAGCAATCACAAGAGTTCCATTCACAAAGATTTTCATTATATAGACTCTAGAATTCATGGAGTCAAAGAAGCACACGAGGATGCTGATTAATAACAGTCCAAGTGGAATACTTGAGTCATGCCATACTTTTCTAGAAAAAAAACAAGGGTAATTAATGCAGGCAAGAATACAAAGAGAGGAGTTAGTGCACAAGCTCCCGGGTTGAGGAGGGGCGCCTCTTGGTATTAGAAGACGAAGATACTTTTGGTAAGAAGGTGTGGTTAAAGGTGGTTAGTGATAAATATATTCATTTTGTTTTATTTATTAAAATAATATTTTTAATTCATTTTATATATAAGCCTTTTGTATTTAAGTTAAAAAGTTAAATAATATATACTTTTTACAAATTAATAAAGAAGAATTCTAGCCTTCCTTTCTTTCATATTCATATTTATTTTGTGTTAATTAAATTTGTTTTAACATAGTTTCGGAGTTGGTTTTATGGAATGAGGACCGAGACTTAATCTCAAACACAGCTAGTTTTATTGTCTTTCTGAGCCCTCTTCCTATAAAGAAACAATTCTTGATCCTCTATGACAACAAGTTATGGATAAGAAACTTTTTGCTTTATGTAAAACAGATACTTGATATTTAGTTCCTCTATCTTCTGGTAAAAATGTTGCTGGTTGTCGTTGGATGTACAAGATCAAGACTAATTCTGATGGGATACAATTGCAAAATGATACTGTCAACAGTATGATATGGATTATGAGGAGATATTTGTCCCTGTTGTAAAAATAACTACTATTTGTACTCTTATTGTTGTAACTTCGATTCGTCAATAATATATCTCACAACTTGATGTTAAAAACACCTTCTTGAATGGAGATCTTCAAAAAGAAATTTATATGACGTCTCCTCCTGGTGTTTCACATGACTCTGGGTATGTATATAAGCTCAAAAAAGCGTTATATGATCTTAAACAAGCATCTCATGCTTAGTTTAAGAAATTTTCTGTTGTGATCTCATCTCTTGGATTTATTTATAGTAGTCATGAATCTATTTTTTTTATTAAATGCATTGATGCAGATCGCATCATTTTATCCTTATTTGTTGATGACATGATTATTACTGGTGATGACATTAATGGTATCTCAGTTTTGAAAACAAAGCTGACTAGATAGTTTGAAATGAAGAATTTGGGTTGTCTTCGATATTTCATAGGTATCAATGTAGCTTACTTATCTAGAAATTACCTTCTTTATCAGTCAAAATATGTTGCATATATTCTTGAGCGGACTAAACTTACTAATAACAAGACTATAGACACTCACATTAAAGTTACTGTAAGGTATTCTTTTGATGGTTTACCTTTAACAAATCCTATTTTACATTATATTATTGTTGAGAGTTTGGTATACCTCATTATTACTCATCCAAATATTGTATATGATGTTCATATTGTTATTCAGTTTGTTGTTTCTCCTAATACTATTCATTTGACAACTGTTCTTCATACTCTGTGATATCTTTAGGTATAGTATTGTACTTTCATCCACCTCTTTCTTGAAGCTGTATACATACTCTGATGCTGATCATGACAGTGATCTTATATATCGCAAATCGGTTACTGATTTCTGTATTTTTTAGATAATTCTCTTATTTCTTGAAAGACCAAGAAATAATTTATTGTTTCTCAATCCTTAACCGAATCAGAATATCGTGCTATGACATCCACTACTAAAGAGATTATTTAGTTACATTGATTATTTGCGGATATGAGAGTTTCACTCTCTCATCTTGCTCCTATGTATTGTGATAACTAGAGTTCTATTTAGATTACTCACAACTTGATTTTTCATGAACGAACTAAGCACATTGAAATTGATTGTTATCTTACTTGTCATTATCTCAAGTATAACACCATTACTTTGCTTTTTGTTTTTTTCTTTGCAGATTGCAGATTTCTTTATCAAGTTGCATTTCATTTCTTGTTTTTATTTTGTAGTTGGCAAACTCTTGATACTTGTAATTATCGTATCATGAACTTGAGGGAAGATATTAAATAATATATTTATCTTTTTTTATTTATTAAAAGTAAAATAATATTTTTAACTTAATCTATATATAAACTTTTTATGTTTAAGCTAAATGATATATTTATTTTGTGTTAATTGAATTTGTTTTAACACTTAGCACCCTTAACGAAGAGGTGCTCGTGCTACCATGAAAGACAATAAAAACTCTTAAGAGATTAATGGCAGTGTTCTCTTCTCTCAATTGGTGCACATGATGGAAGATATGTGAAAAATGTGGAAGCCACTGCTGACATCCCCCAGGGAGGAGGACGTGATCGTCCTCCGACAAAAGGGCGTGGACACCTTGGTTCGTAGGCGGGAGGCTCAAGTGTGAGTCAAACGGAATATTTTCCACCATCGATAGAATATTTTGACCCAAATTCACATTACAATTCTTAATTTATATTTCTGTATTTTACCCTATTTAGCAATTCCACTATTAATTTGAACTCGTTTTAGAAAGATAAAACATTCCTTTCAATCACATTTCTTTTAAATATTATAGGTAGCATCAATCCAAATTAACTTATTTTTTTTAAGTAGATATAGTTATCAATATTACTGATGAGAGTATTGTAGTTTTTAATTTTGTAAGTATTTTAAAGGTGTATTTTATATAAAAAATATTAAATTAATATTTTTTTTTTTTATGATTTTAATATGCTAATATAAAAAAATAAAAATTTAATTTTTTTAAAAACATATTATATAACACAATATCAAACACACATTATTTTATTGGATTAACCTAAAAATATAGTTTTAAAATGCAATCCAACTCAACGAGTTGATCTAAAATCTAGCTGATCCGAGACTAGAACTTGACTAAGTTTGTAAAAAAATAAGGATAGTTAAAAATTCATATGATATGATAAAATCCTGTTATAAATTGTTGATAATTTTTATTTTTTTATTAAAATAATATTATTTTAATTTATAAAAAAAATTAAAATTAACTTGAATGACTAGATCAAAATCCACAACACAAGTCTTAAAATAAATCAACCACCAAACCGGTTTAAAAATACTATCCACAAGTTACTATATTATTAAGTAAACTCATGAGTTATAAATCAATCAAGGTTTGTTATTTTTTTTTATTAAAAACGGTATCATTTTTTTTTAATTATTTAAAGTTAACTCAAACAGATTTAAACCACCAAGTTAATCTAAATTAATCAACTCAAGTCTAGTCAACGTTAATATTTTTTATGTGGATCAACTTAAAACAAGCTAAGGCTGGACACAAAACAAAACACAAGAAGAACACACACTCGTTGCTTCCGCCTAACCTTTCATGTGATTTCGTCGAAGCAAAAAGGAAAACACTCAAACTCATAGCCCTTTTCGTGTCCTAAAAATTCCAACAAAAAGAAACCCCACACGTCGACGACTACTACTACTTCTTCACTTTTCTGTCTTTAGATCTTTCTTAATTATTAGTGTTATTATTTATTAAGTCTTTTCCAGCCCTGAGTGTATTAGCGTAGACACAGAGAACGGATATGTCAGGACAGATTGTGAAAGTTAAAAGAGAGATATTAGAGGCATGCATGACATGCCCCCTTTGCAATAAGCTCTTAAAAGAAGCTACCACGATTTTTTCGTGTCTCCATACGTGTAAGTTTTTCTTTTACCCCCTCTTGTGTGAAATTTTGTGTTGATCTGGGGTTGTTGGGATTCTTGTGGAATTGGCTGGTATGATTTGAGTTGTTGTTTCTTGATCTGGGTTTTTCTTGTTTTTCAATTTCGTGTTTGCTTTGCTTATCATGGCTTGTATGGATGTTGCAATTTGGTAATTCAATGTCGAGAAGGGGTTTGTT